AGGTGTGTTCGGAGAACCGGATTAGCGAGCTCACGGTTAGCGCGATGATTTGGTCTTGGATGAGTCATTTGATCTTGGATGTAGTAAGCGACGTACGAAGAACGGGCCCCTGGACAGAGCTCACTGTGGGCTCTGCTTTTAGCCAACGCAAGAGATTGCTCACCTGTGGCTCACTAACCTGCCTCTCCCAGCCACAATTTAAGACAGTGGCTCAGTCCTTCTTGTTGCTGGTACATTACTCTCGTTAGTCTTCCCTGGCTCTAAAACTGTGTTGCCTTTGTGTTTTTTCTAGTTACGATTGTCTCGTCTGTCTTATCTAGATTCCCTGGTCCTGTCCTTGTTCCCGGTCCCTGCATTAGTTGAGTGCAAGTGTGAATCGCAAGAGTGGAGTGAAGTGGAGCATGGCAGAAGAGGATCGTGTGTCGAATTCCCCTCACCATTCCCCATGGAGCCTTGGACCCCCTTTCCTTCCCTCACCTCTTGTATATAGTTACAGCAATGAGTGTTATCAAACAAAAAAGAACGAGAAACAAGAATAGACTGTCAACTTTCACTCTATGATGCAAGTGGTTCATGGTTGGCTAGCTGAACTGAAACTAGAAGATCCACCTGTTAGCTGCAGCATTAAGGTCGATAGAGCACTCTCTAAATGAGGACTGTGTGAGGACTGCTTGTTTGACACGGGTGCACTGTTGATTCATGTCCCAAAGAATCTGGGGGAAAAGCAGCCTAGGTACTTCTGTTGCATGAGGAGTAATAAGTAACTGAGTTAATGATAGAATGACTTTGAATTGAACTTTGAATGGGGTGATCATTGGCTCAAGAGTTTGGAGTTCGCCTTGTAATCGGAAGGTTGCCGGTTCGAACCTTGGACAGTCTTGTTCGTTGTGTCCTTGGGCAAGACACTTCACCCGTTACCTACTAGTGGTGGTCAGAGGGCGCCAGTGTCCGGCAGCCTTGCCTCTGTCAGTGCGCCCCAGGGCAGCTGTGGCTACAATGTAGCTTGCCATCACCAGTGTGTGTGAATGATGACTGGATGTGTAAAGTGCTTTGGAGTCCTTAGGGACTAGTAAGATGCTATACAGGCCATTTACCATTTGAATTTAAAAATTGTTTCCTCTGTGAAGATCTGACTCTTACTCCACATTGTTGAAGTGACGTCCCATTACGCTTATTATTGACTTTGTTAACACAATTATAACAGACAACAATGCTTTCTATTATTGCAATAAATTTGGGCTTGGAGGCTTAAAATCCTTAAACCTCAATCCATTGCTAATGCAATTTAAAGATGAGTCAACTGAAACAAGTGTAGATTCCTCAATGTGTGCAAGGAAAAGCTATTTGCAGGCATGCAACATTTATATGTTTAACAGTTTATATGTTTTAAATTTGATAAATAATTAAGCATGGTACAATTTGTTAAATATATTATGTCGAAGACTTAACGGTAGTCTTACTAATAATGTATTGCTCTCAAACCGCCCAGCAGGAGGCCAACAATGTATTGTATCCATCGCTGTAATTTTAAGATGCGTACATGTTGAAAGATGCAGGAATCACTCACAAAGGATTTACAGAACACTGTTAAAAGCAATACATATGGAAATTATAACAGAGTATAACTTTAAAATACGCAGAATTTCTACTTAATGGAATGACCTGACAAGCTAGAACATATCCATTTAGTTTCTTTAGGTCCACTCAGAAAGAAAAAAAAAGTTTTCAGTGCAGAGATGTATATAAAAACTCTATCACCAAAATATCCCTCTTTTTATATTGGGGGTAACTGTGAGAGCATGTACTCTTTTCCTTTTAAACAATTTTACAAACAAAAACAAAAATTTAATATCAAGTAGGAAAAACTAGTGGTGTGCGATACTGCATATTTTGGTATTGATCTGATACCAAGTAAATAATCAACTATCAGACTAAAAATTTGTAAAAAAAAAAAAAAAAAAGGCAGCGAAGGACCAAAGAACAACTTTGAAAATCCTTCATAAAATATATAGAAAGGATGAGGATAAGATATATGCACAATATTAGGGTTTAAAGAAATCTGAAGAATAATTTAAAATATTAAGTTGCAACCAAATAGGAAAAAAAATATAAGCAATCTTAACAAGTAACAACCAAGCAAACAATAAGCTGAATAGAAAATTAAGTTCTATATGTCTTAGAATTGTTCTCAATTATTTGATTAGATTGAAGTGGACAAATAAAGAACTGTTTATTAGAAATAGAGGCTAGTCAAACAACAAGGAACCATTTACTACTTCAGTGACAGAGAGTGAAAGAGGGCAGTATACCCATTACTTCTTAACATAAAACTCATTGTTTCAGCTACAGGCAACAATAAAGTGACCCCATTAAACTGAATTTTAGCTTTAGCGGCCTTATTTCCCCCTGAGTTATTGGTTCTGTTACTAGTTAGCTAACACAAACTAATGCAAGTCTATTACCAGCAACCAACCAAACCACTGACATAGCGTTCTATACTAGCACAAGCAGCTGTGTGCTCTCCCACAATCACTGTCTAGCACAACACCTGGAGCTAAAGGGGCAAAACAATCGCATAAGTGCTGCTGTTTGACTGAGGAAGAAGCGTGGTAAGCCAATCACATGACCACTTAAAGACAAAGCAACAAGGTGATAAATACCAGTTTATAAATTATGTTGATAGGCCACGTAAAACCAGAGTCATGATAAACTATATTTAAGCGGCGTTTTTTCCTCAATAGTTTCGTCATGTTTACTGTCTGACAGCGCAGCGAGACCTCTCTGCTTATGAGAGAGAGAAAGAAAAACAGGGCAGGTTTTAGGAGTGATGGCGAGAGAGAGAGAGCAGAAAAAGAGAGAGAGCGAGTTTTGAGATGTGAGAGATTTGTGACGTTTAGCATGTTTGCAGTGTGTAGTTAATGTGTTGTCTTGTGTAGTTAGTGTGCAGTGTTGTGGATTATTTTGTGTTGTGTCAGAACAATGAGGTGACTGCTGTCTCCAGGTAGAAACAGGAGTGATACACCTGCTGCTGTCAGACCTGCAGGTATCAGGCTGTGATTTTCTCCTTTAAAGTGGACAGAAATTATTTTTTTGGAGTGGCACAAATAATTTGTGTGGAATCTTATTGAATGCAGAACATCTGATTGTTCTGTAAATAGTTATTCACAAAATCAAGGTAAAAGGTAAATGGATGCAAATAACTTTGTTGTTTGCAAAACTTGTGCAAATTGACAATTTATATTTGCATTTAAAGTTATGAAATATGATTCATTAAACATGTTTGTTGCTGTTACAGT